AGTTCATAATGCGTGATCAAAACCAAAAGTTTCTGTGATGACTGCCCTTGTACTGTTCACCATGTAAGAACTTATTCACTATGTAAGAATTTGTTCACCATGTAAGAACTTGTGCATTATGCTTCAGAAGATTGGAGACTGACGAGAATTAGGCTTGGGGTGGATTAATGATTGTGCATTGAGCATTGACTCCCCTATACAGAATTTTATTGTTGTTAACAACCATTTGATCAATAAATATGAGAGATGCCCTCTCAAAATAAATAAATAAGTAAATAAATAAATAAATAAAATAAAAAACTTCCACAAGTTTTACATTTTTATCTTTTTTCTTCAGTTTTTCTCTTTCACACATCTGAAAGATGCGTTAGTGGTTACGAGTAGAGATGTAAAATTCAAACTGCTTGAGTTCAAATTTCAGCTTGGCTACCTTCTAACTGTGTGATATTGGGTGACTTAATTATCTAGCATGTTAATGTTCTCATCTAAAACTCATCTATGAGTTGATTTATGTGTTTAAAGAATACCTGGTACATGCGCTCAAAAAATTTTAGTTATTAGTAATATTCTACCCTCTATTTCCCTCCCTGTTCTAATAATCACTATTAATTGTTTCTGAATCAATAAACTTTGAAGCTTCTCCCCAAGCCAATAGTACAGTCTACAAAACCAAATAGTATTTATCTTGTTATAATCCCTCCATCTCGTTTTGTTCTTCATATTTTATTTAGAGCAGGGGATTTAAATCAGAGATCAATCATCTACAGCCCCAGAGTAGATTATTTTCAGCAACTTAAAATTTTATCAGAGCACAGGCACCCAAAACAAAACACAAAAAAACCCACAGGCACCCGTATTCATTTAGGTGTTGTCTATGCTGTTTTTAATGCTACAGTGGCAGAGCAAAAGGTTGAGACAGATCACGACACACAAAGCCAAAAATATTTACTATCTGGCCCTTTACAGAAAAAAAATATGTCAATTCTGATTTAGAGCATGAAGTGGCATAAAGGTATAGGACCTAAGTCAAAGGACTTGAGTTTATATTCCAATACTGCCACTTATCAGCCTGGTGATCTTAGACCTGTCACTTAACATTTCTAACCTTGGCTATATAGATCAAAAGCCTGTCTTATAGGTAGGTCTGTGATGAAAGTTATACAAAGCAAATCCTAAACCCTTCAGAAATTGCATGTCCAGTATAATGTTTTGTGAGGGGAGTTGTTTATTTTTAATCTGATTTTGATTATATTTAAGTAGGCCATGAACTCACTAGTTCTTCACACACACCACTATCATCTTTTATACAATTTCACACATAATCCTCATCGCTTGGCACCTGAGTTTAGGAGGTCTAATGTTAGATAATTTATGTACAGCACTTCATACAACATAAAGTGCTAAAAAAAATCTTAATCAGCATTTACTTAGAGCTTGTTTTCTGACTCTTAAGCACTATGCTGGTCAGTGGAGGATTAAAAAGATTTTTGTGTATAAAGAATGTAAACAAGTAATTAAAATATAATAGGTGAGAGGATTAAGGTTCAGTAGAAACTCTCTTAACCTCCTCCTTGGATCAACTCAAATAATTTCTTTCTGCAAAACATACTAATGCCCACAGCATTTTAGAAGCTCTTGACTAATAGGCCTCATTACCTAGCTCTTGGTTAATCATTTCCATCAATTGTTACATTAAAAAATTGAGCTGTGTCTGTAGGCAAACTAATTCATGCCAGGTAAACTTGATATAATTATATACTGTAATTATATATTACGTAAGCCAAAGAAAACTTGAATGCAAAAAGATAGACTTATTACTATGAATCAAACCTGGATGCTTTGAAAGACTCCACTAAAGTAAATACCTTTGAAAAACTGCTGTCATATTTGGCAAGGTGACTTAATTAAAAACACAACAAGGAAACAATAAATATCTAAAAGACTTACGCACTATAGCTGCTATACAAGAGTTTAATATTTCTGTTCCATGTTAAAGAAAGCAAACTGAAAATGGATTATTAAAGACGACAAGAAATTTCTATCAGGGGATCTTCATCAAAGGAAAGGCCCTGCCCTATATCACATACACATTTTAAAGTTTAAGTTTAATGAAAGGAGCTATTGATTTTTTTCAATGGAAAAGTGGCTGCTAACCATCTACAAAATAAAGTCCAAATTCTTCATAATAGTATTCAAGGCACCAACCTACCTTCCTAAGTGACCTTCATAAAATATATATATGTCTATAAATATGGACCTTTAGAAGTGAAATCTCAGGGTATATTCCATGAGATCTGGGACCTTGAATGTTTTGTTCAGCACTGTATCCTCAAGAACAAAACATTGCCTGGTGCAAAGTTTAATTAACATGTTCTTTAGCATACAGGCTAATATTTAAAGCTAGGTGAGACTGCCCACCGAAGACCTTTAGCACTTTTAAATCTCTTTGAAGCTGATGGTCAGACCTTTGAATCATCTTTTCCAAGAAACATGTACAGTTGACCCTTAAACAACACAGGTTTGAACTGTGTGAGTCAACTTATATATGGATTATTTTTCTGCAAATATATTGGATAAATTTTTGGAGATGTGTCACAAGTTCAAAAAAATTTTTTCTCTACCTTACTGTAAGAATACAGCACACAACACATATAACATACAAAATATGTGTTAATCAACTTGATGCTATTGGTGAGACTTTCAGTCAACATAAGCTATTAGTAGTTAAGTTTGGGGCGAGTCAAAAGCTGTATGTGGATTTTCCACTGCTTGGTGGGTCAGTGTTCCATAACCCCCCACACTGTTCAAGGGTCAACTGTACATGTTTACTTTCACAGTCAATTTTGCATCTAATTTGAGGGAATTCCGACTACATAACACTTACGCCTACATCGGTCAAAAGTCTATTGATCTCAGCTTTAACAACCACCATTAACAGATGAAGAGGGCTAAGGAAGGAACCATAAGGAATACCAAAAATTAAGGACAAATGGATGTAGAAAACTCAGGAAAAGAAAGGTCTGAAAAGTAAGAGGAGAACTTTAACATTATAAAGAAACCAAGGAAATAAGTTTTCATAGAGGGAGTGATCTGCAATGACAAACACAGTACAAAATACATACATTAGACCTATCATCAGGCTGCCCTAGGAATCTTACTGTAGTGACAGGGCATGGAAACCAAACTGTGGTTGTTTGAAGGACTGAAAAAAAGGAAGTAGAGACTGCATAAACAACCAAAATCCCCTTAAACATCCTTATATTTTTCCAACAGATATTATTTAGTGCCTATTTATAGGCCAAGCATTGTGCTAGACATCCTATCCACATCCTTCCCAAACACCCTATTCTCAAGAAACCTGACTAACCTCTTATACCACGTCTGAACTCCTAATAACTTTCATATAATAAATACCAATAACTTTCCACTGGCTTAATAAACCAACCATATATTCTACTTCTTAGAGAGCCCAATAAAGACTTAAAGTGTTAGACTTACTATATAGGTCTTTCATAAACATGTGATAATCTTTCCTATCCCAAGAATTACAATACTCTTTGAACTAACCATTTCAATGACTTTAATTCATTGATGCTACTGGATGTAATTCTTAAGGCCATGGGTTCAACTGACACTCCCTTCCAAAAAAATCTAAACAAAGGAAAATATGCCTGAGAGTACTCGTCATTCTCTTATATACTAAAAATCTGTAACCATTAAGTCTCTGAAAGAAATCCCTAGAATACTCTTCTCTTGGAATTCCCCTAAAATAGAATTTAAATTCTGGAATGGTCTCAACCCTCATTTTATAAGTTAGCAAATTATTATCCTATTCAGTGAGGTGCCTAAGTCTATCTAAAATACTAAAGAAATTATATCCAATACTAGAAAAATGGCCTATAAGCTTTTTTGTGACAATGTGTTAATGTTTATTAACATTTCATTTAGTCAACAAATAATTACTAAGTTTCTCCAGCATGTCAGGCACTAGAACAAGACAGACCTGGCGGCCCCTTCCTTCATTCTAGGAGAAAAAAAATTAAAACTTAACCCAATTGAGTAAAAGTACTTCAATAGCAAGAGGACACATAATTAAAGACGGGGGTTAGGATTTGTTGCTTGTTCTTGTTTCCTCTTACTAAAAATTTTGGTGGAGGGATGGGGCAGGAGTAGGGGGGTCCAAGAAGAGCTCTTTGAAGTATGTAAACTTTGAGAGGAATTCTGAGAAATGATAAACTATAATGGGTGCAGGAGTGGAAGAAGGCTCTTGGTGGAAGGAACAGCATGTGTCCAGCCAGCCCTAAGGTAAGAGGAGCACGGCACATTCAGGGAATTCAACAAGCCAGCATAGCCTGCTCATCAAGTAACAATTACATAGCTTAAGATAAAGTTGTAGCCAAGGGCAGGAGTCAGATCATCTTTTTATATAGTATATAACAGTTTAAAAGCGCTTTAACATATGTTTTGTTCCTCAACAAACTTTAGTAGTTATTATTATTTTAAATCAAATTATATCTCTCCTCTTTCGAATATCCACAGGGTGAGGTCCAAGTTATTTAGTTAAACCTTGTCTGCTGGTACTAACACACCTACTCATTCCTTAATGTTCAGTGCAAACTATCTTCAAAGAAACCTATACTGAAGCTTCGGCAGGCAACTATCCCGTCTCCTCCGCGCCGCCCAGCAGCCGCAGCCTCAGCCCCAGCTTCCTCCCGCCTTATAAAGGAAGCCGCCCCGGGCCGGCGGACCGGCACGGAAGCACGTTGGTCAGTCTATGGATAAACACAAGGGGAGGGCAGCAGAGAGAACTGCAGTCGGCGGTCGGGCCAAGGAAACAGTCAGCCTCAGCCTCCGCCTCAGCCACTACCTCAGCTCGGCCGGTCCAGTGAGAGCTCCAGGACCGAGGAGAGACCCGAGGGTCCAGCTCTCCGAAGGCAGCAAGTACTTCGAACTGCTTCCCAGGGCTTTTGGTCTTTCCGCGCCCGCCCCGCCCGAGTTACCTTCCCAAGTGACATCGTACAGCTCTGAAACCTTCGCCATCTTCACAGAACCTGCAGACAGCGGGTAGAGGGCGGGGAGGCGCGGTCATGTGATTTGCGACCAGGCGGGGGCAAATTACGCTAACATTTCTCATTGGCCAAGAGAGCAGAGGGGGCGGGATCCGCCGCGCACGTGCACGCGACTCTGGGCGTGGAGCCAGCTGGGCGGTGCGCGGCGCGCCAGGGCTCTGACGGCTCTTCGGCGGCCCGGCTACGGACCCAGCCGGCTTAGGGTGAGGTGTTTATTTTACCATGAATTTTTAACAAACGCTGGTGTTTTTGTATTCGCCACTTCCCGTTTTTCATTTTTTACTTCAAAGATGTTTTCCCTCCCTTCTCACTCCCTAATCAGTACCTTGTTCTCTGCATGGCCTGCTGTAACCCAACGTTCTACTAGAATCCCTTTCCTCAACTTTCCTCCTTCCACAAATTAATAAACGTCAGAATTTTCATTAAATCTCTTTGGCGAGATTCTGCCTTTGCATATGGCCTTTCCTGTGTCCAAGGATTTATTAAAAGTTCCTATGGATATCCTTGTGACAACTATACCCCTAGGTAACTCTCCTTGTGGAATACTGCCTGCCACTCTAGATTTGAAACATCTCTCTGTAAGAGCAGCCAATAAATATGTGAGTACGGGAAAATAAGTAAGTGAAATACCGGGTAAATGAGGGAATGAGACCACCGTATCCCCTTCACATCACTTTGCCTCTGTAGCCTCACAGGGGAGCCTCCTTTCCCACCAGGCTAATTCTTTTTAAGAACCTTTGGACCTAGTCTACTAGGAGAAAATGTCTGGAGTTGAAGCTAGAAATTTTAGGGCCATAATCGTATATTTAGTTTTTGAAATAATGGAAACATGAATATAAAGGGGGAAATATGTAAAGGAGGAAAGAAAGCTAAAATATTCCTGCATAACCACCATAATTAAGGGTCAGTGAAGAAGAGGCAAACAAGATAGGAGAAAAGAGGCATATCCTACAAGCCAAAAGAATATAGTTGGAAAAATAAAAATGTAAAGGTGCCGTCAATGGCACATACCTCAGAGAAGTTCCATAAGGACAGAAAAGACGAGTGAGTTTATAAACTTGAATTAGATTCTGAATGAGCTTCCTTCTCTCCAGACTAAACAGACCTTTTTAAGCACTCTTCATTCAAGAAGTTAAAAATCCTCCACTCAGAAAC